TTTGATATGTTTTATGATCAGTTTTTTAAACCTCCAAAATCAATATAGGCCTAAATAATTCTGTATTAATCATGCGATGGAAATACCTATCACTTATCAAACTTGGGTTTTGTTTAAACTAAATACATCCAATTTCCAGGAGGTTTGTTGTGTCCCAGACACAATGTGTGTCACTGTAACCCCCTTGACCCCCTGCTTAGGAAGAGTTTAATCAATTTGTTTGTGTCCCAGACACAATGTGTGTCACTGTAACCCCCTTGACCCCCTGCTTAGGAAGAGTTTAATCAATTTGTTGACCCTCTGAACCCCTCCCCCTTACCTGAAGGGGAACCTGCTGCCGTCCAGCCAGTAGTACTGAGGGGAGCAGTCAGCGCTGCTCTCCTCCTCGCCATGGTTTCGGCGTAGACCGATCCAGAAGTCTCCGTCGGTGGGTCGCAGCTCCGTGATGAGCTGCTCCACGATCTTCTGCTCAGACTCTGACTCCACGCTCAGCAGCTGCCCCCCGTCCCGCCTGCAGGCCAGCTCGGCCTCCACAAAGTTCAGCCTCCGTCGGAGCTCGGAGAAATAGGCCAGCTTGTAACACGGCTTCCCTTTTCCTGCTTTGCACACACGTTGACCTGCAAACACACACACAAACACAAACACACACTTATACCTGATTACACGTGACAGACTGAGGTTTTCCAATAAGTGTAAGTGTAAGTGAAACAAACAATGTTACCAAAACAAAATACCAATAAATATTAAGAAATAAAATACAAAACATTTATTATAAATAAATCATTAAAAAAAATGTATCTCTGAGCACAATAAATATCTTGGTTTCTTCTATTCTAAGGTTACACTGTTCCGTTGTCTTACATAAAACACTTAAGTAAAGGCCATCTAATTGATTTTTTTTTCATTGTATTTGATATTGAGGTTATCCAAAAGTAACCGAAAGTAATCAGGTTACATTACTTTTATAGGTTAACTGATTAATTTCTTTACATGCAACTAGTTATAACAGAATACATTTTTAAATTAACCCTCCTAACCCCGCTCTTTGCTTAGTTAATGTTAGAGCACTGAAGGCTGTAAGGTGGAGTGGTCGTCTATCAATCTGAAGGTTGGGGGTTTCATTCCAGCCCCTGCAGTCAACATGTCAATGGGCAAGATACTTAACATCAAGTTGCTCCCGCATGCCCAAAAGTCTGTGAATATTAGTTTCCTTCCTTATGCAGGTGTTACATTGCATGTTCTCTGTATAAATATGTATAAATTAGGGAATGCTGACTGAAAAAGTGCTTTGTAAAGTCCATTTGGCACTGAAAGGACGTTTCTTTAGGAGTTTTATTATATAGAGATGGACCAAGGTGTAGAAGCCTTTCATAATTTAAAACTGTAGTTGTAAGAGAAGTTTGTTGCCTACCTCTTGCTTCAAATATATCCGCTTCAATAGCCCAACATCCAGCATGAGGTCAGTCAGGCAGGCCAGGAGGAAAAGATAGATCCACAAGTGAGTCAAGAGTTTATGTCTTTGAGCTTTGTTGTGTTTTCAGTGTGCATTCTTACCTGTAATGAGGCTTGAGGCTGCAGATGGTTCGAAACATAAAAGCAGAAGGTAACAGAAGATTGTCAGCAGGTCCATTTTTGTCAGCTGTTCACCAGCACCTCTTGTATTTTAGTTTAGTTTTCATGCCGCTGTCTGCTCAGCTCAACTGAACCTCAAGAGGTGAGCTGCTGCTACGAGTGTTACAAAATAAACCTTAAAAAAGTGGGATTTCAAAGAGCTTAAGAAGTGCAAAAGAAGCAAGTCTCTTGTTCTTTCTGCAGAAACAGAGAGTATGTGAGACAGAAGGAGGAGCAGGAAGAGGAGGAGAAAAGACTGTGTGTTTGGGAGGGGGCTGTAATCTGTTAAGAGCAGTTTTAATGATTGGGAGAAGAGGCTGCATCGATTGCAAGACATCTAATCATGCAAGTGCTTCTCATCGTAAACGCTGACAAGAGGCAGATTTCGCTCCTTCCTTTATTACTTAAGCTCTAGGTATTATCATTACAAAAGTGTTACATGAAAATGATCTGCTCTAACTCGATCAGGGATATTTTCATATATTTCTCTCAGGTTCGTATTCACTTTGTTCTGCAGTGTTCTTCCCTTATTGTGTTTCAGCACAAAGAAGAACAGATGGCCAACACAGCGGACATCTCCAAGAGGGGGAACATTCATTTTCCTGTACTTTTATTTAGGTCTGCAATCTCTTTTAGTTTAAGTTAATTATTATTCAGGGTATCACCACTTTTAGATTGAAATGTTTTTAAATCCATATTGGTGCACATGTGATATAAATGACCTCACTTTTTTCAAATCGAGCCCTGCCCACTTCGAAACACTGGGAAAAAATGCACAGATGAAACCACAAATTAGGGCAATCTGTTTTGTAAAAATAACCAATATCATTATGTCTTTGTCAAAATATGCTATCCATCATTTAGTATAATCGATCATTAAGTAGAAACAGAAATAAAAGGTTTTGAGGGACTGTAATGTCTATAAGGTCTGAAATGAAGTTGTGAAATTGCTTAGGCGAAGGAGATGTTAACAATGAGTCAATATGTTTTTAATAATAAGTTCATTTCAATAAATATTGTTGATTTGGCATTTGGAAAATGGCTAATTTGCTTTCTTGATAAGTTAGATTGATGTCTGTAGCCTACAGTAAGTACCGGTTCTGTTATATCGTTTATATTTATTTTGGATAACAGGACCAGGACTTTGGAGATGCTAGTTGGATTTTCTTCCTTCTTTTTTATTTGTATACCCGGTCAGATGCGGGCTAGTAGCTTTTCTCTGTTTCCAGAGGTAACAAGGTAACCAGCTGCTTTTGGTAGCAAAATATTAGACCTATACCGTGAAAACAGTGGTATAAATCTTTGCTTAACTATCAGGAAAAAAGGAAATATGTATATATTTCATACACTTTTCCTTTAAGATTGTGGAATAAGAAGAAACACAGAATAAAATGTGTGACAAATGTAATTTAATCTCTAATCTGGGACAGATGCCAAATTATTGAGAAGCATATTTGACACGTGTTACTATAAAGTGAGATTTTCCATCAATATAATATGTGAGCTCAAGTCCAGATCAGCAGAAGCCATGGATGTGAGCGTGATCCGTATTTCGAGGCACAAATGGGGTATGTATGCAGTAATGGTAGTAATTGTGGTAATGGTAGTAATTAAAAAATGGGCCATAAGGTTGATTTAGGGCTGACAGAGAGACAGATCAGCCAGAGTTTAAACAGCAGGATGCTTCATCAGGAATATGCTGTGTGGGCTAGCATTGAAAAAGAATAGGGAGTGGGGAGTAAGGGGGATGGGGTGGGGCTTCTCTGAATATACTGTCTGTATGCTGCTCTATCCTAACATTGCTAATCAGTTTAGGTGTAAGAGATTGATTTCAGTCGAAGGTTTTTTTTTTTTAAATAGATGGCTGGATAGTGGATGTTGGCATTAGCTGGAAATGCTCTGAAAAATAAAAGTGGAGAGGTAACCGAGTCCTCCGGTGGGATTCAATAAGGAATGGACCTCCTGTTAAATGTCCTCCATGTTTACAGCCTCTGGGACTAAGAGAGGCTTTCATTAGATTACGCCTCGCCCATTCGCTCCTTCTCTCACACAGTCTGTCTTCCTCCCTCCTCCTCATCTCATCCCACTGGCTTCCTCCCTCTCTCCCAATTAGTTAAAGGCAAACCAGATGAATGTTCCCCTGGGAAGTCAGTACATCACTGACCCAACACACACACATATACAAAAGGTAGGCGTTTCACCATGTCAGAGAAACCAAACATTGATGTTGAATATTCACCACTGTTGTTTGGTTGTTTGGACATTTAGCCAATATGCAATTGGCTTGTAAATAAAATTGCTAAATGTACATTTCCACTAAGGCAAGGCCTGACAGCGTAATGGTCAACAGATCATCGTTACACATTAAAATAACATTTGATTTGAAGCCATAAACTTGTTTTGACCACAACAAATCATTGGTAATGCAGTGGCCTCGTTTGTTTGTGGGCTGTAAAGACAGGGCAATGAATGACAATCTCAGTTCATTTCCATCTCAAGCCAGTAAGTGAAAGAGAAAAACTTAATTACTCACCAAAAAAAAGAACGTAACTTTCCACTAAATTCAATTTGAACAATCTGAGTTGGCATGTGGCCAGACTGAGGGTCCGCATTGCGTTCGGCCTGCACAGAGAGCTGGAAATGAGCCCTGAGTCACTGACCTGAAGGAGAGTGGCTCTATCAGCAGAGCTCGTCCATAAAATAGTTTCAATGAAAGCTTTAAGTGCTGTACTAATTCTTGAAATGATGTCTTTACCATGCAGTTTAGAAAAAAGGCTTCAGAGAAGGATATATTTAAAGGGGCCCTATTATGCTTTTTGGGGTTTTCCCTTTCCTGTAGTGTATTATACAGGTTTTTGAAATGTAATGTAAATGGTTTCAGAGATTCACGACAATAGTGGTTGTCATTTACAGCAGCTGATGTGTGTGTTGTTTTGGTCAAAGTGTGATCAGGGTGTGATCTGTCGAACGTTAAATCTGTCACAGAGCAGTTAATCTATGTGTCTTGTTTGTTTGGCAGCAGTTTGACAGCTGCCTGTAGGTGAAATAAAGAAATATCTGTCAAAGTACGAGTTATTTCATTAGTTTTTTTAAATAACTATTGATACACTATCTGTGGGTGAAATAGACAGCTAGCATTGATGTTGTTTGTATTTAATTTACAGTATCTGACAAATGAAGGTCAATTATCACAGTGACAAAAATGTCTTATAAATACTCAATATTGCCTGCTTATATTGGGCATGATGGCCTAACAGTTAGCATACAGTATTTGATGGATAGCTATCATGTTATAAACATTATGGCACAGATAGACATATTTAAGTTGTTTCACTGTAAAGACTATAATCCCAGATCCAGGGGATCTCTTCAAAAAAAATCAAGACAGGTTTATAGTGATTTATAGTTTATTAACTGATTTACATCCTGGTTGACCATGACGATATTGAATAATGATGACAGGGTACAGATCAGCATAACTAATCACTAATTGAGCGACTGTAATTGTGCAATTTGAGAATAAGCGAGTGTGTGTACTGTATGTATTTTTATTTGTAGCTTTTGATAAGAAAAGGTTAACTGAATATATATATTTTTAATTTTGAAGGCACAATCTGAAAAATGATTAAATCACATAAACCAGGGTGTTTGAACAAACAGGATAAACAAAACATATTACTGAAATGGCAAAACTGATTACAGTATTCAAATACATTTTAGTCCTTCAAAAACTCAAGTGTTGAGTATTCATCCTGTTCGTCATTTCCAAGGATTGTTTTGAGGAAATCAACAACTCTGAAAAGATTAATGTGAAAATCTCTGGAGGTCTGATCCGACTCGACGATACCGCCCCCCGACCCGCACAGATCCTTCGTTCCCCAGCTGACCAGCGCAACCTGTTAGAGAAATTCACTTTAGACAGTTAACATGAACTCAAATGTTGTTACCTCAGTGTTTAACATGGAGTTTCATTTTCAATTTGCCATAACTTTTGGTGCTTTTTGTTAAAGTGTTGGATACACACACAACAAAGACGTGACTGTACCTGTATCGTACGATGCTCATAGTTCTTGAACACAGCTCCCCCTGAGTCACCTGTCACAACAATAATGTTAATTGATTAGTGAGGCCCAAAAGGCTAAAGAAGTTGCTTAACTACTGTGTCTGGGTGCAATTCAAAGTTACTGTGCGTTGATGAGAAGAGCTTGAAGAGGCCCTATTATGTTTTTTGGGATAACTAGCAGCTCCCATCAAAGCAGGGAAATAAATTGTAATAGAAGAAACACACCTTTACATGCCACATGATCCCTGAAAGGAGTCAGACCTCCAGTGCACAGGAAGTTATCCGTCACGGCAACCTTTGGATCAGTCGCTGTTATGTTAGGTACCTCCAGTGCATGCTTGATGCAATCCACTCTCTGCATTGGTTATTAAGAGTAGAGTAAAACCACAGCTCAAAGTGACTTGAAGGTTTAGAGTAAGTAATGAAAAAAAGCTCACATATACGCACACATAAAGCACAACCCAGCTCAGTAAACTCACACTTCCACCAAGCTTAGCGTGGGCATCTTTTTCATCAACCGAGCTTCCTCTCTTGGTCAGGAAACTGACTCTTTCAAGATCATTTTTGAGCAGCAGCTCCTCTGTATTAAGAAAACACAAAAACAGTAGAGTACAGTAAAGTGAACCTGAGACTGTCGATATTTTATTTTTACTGCAAGGCAACTCCATTGACAGGGGATGACTGTATGACATATTTTATATGAGTGGGAAATATGAAGCAATCATTTTTTTATTTGTTAATGATTCATTATTTTTATGTTAGAATATAACTCCAATCAGATCATTTGTTTTTTAAGACTAGGACAAACTACCTTTACGCTGCATTGCAAGAGAAGTGCTGTTACTTTCAAAATCAAAAATAAATACATATTTTCCTCTAACATGTAGTGCAATTGATCAATCTAGAGCAGTGGTTCTCAACTGGTGGGTCGCGAACCAAAAGTGGGTCGCGGACCCGTTTCGAGTGGGTCGCGGACCCGTTTCGAGTGGGTCGCGGACCCGTTTCGAGTGGGTCGCGGATGTGTGAGTGAAGAAAAAAAAGTTGGAAAAAAAAAATTGGATTTTTTTTTTTTTTTTTTTTGGGGGGAAAAAGTCAAACTTTTATTTTGATGGCCCGATTTTCTTCTCAGAGTGTACCAGAATGCGTAGTTTATGTTAGTATTTCTAAAAATCTTCTGGGGGAGAATCCCCCCAGACCCCCCTGCTGGGGTTGGGTTTCAGCACGTGTGCCTTTTTATATAGTTCAGCTTTGATTCCATCATCTCATTAAACCTTTTTTAAAAGCATACTTTAGTTCTGTGAAGGGATATAAGGGATATATGCACTGTACTTCAATTTATTTTATTAATATTGTATGCTCAAAAGCGTATATATATATTACAGCACGATTTTTTGTTGAATAGATTTGAGTGCTTCAAAATGTTGGGTCGCGATGTATTGACCAAGTAAAAAGTGGGTCCCGAGGCCTGACCAGTTGAGAACCACTGCTCTAGAGTATTTTGTGCGAGTTGTCCAGATGGCTGCCTTCACTGAATATAAGGGAACTAGATGGCGCTCGGCTTTTGGTGCTCAACGCTAAAACTTGAAAACTAAAACTCCCTATAAAGGAATCATAGCCTGTTCACTTAAACTAATCCACATATTTAGTTGTGAGTGGTTCCATTTAGGATTTGTTTTCTTTCTACCACCCACCAACAGTTCACTCTGCAGAAGGAATCATTAAACTGCTCATGGACCAGAGTCTGATACCTCAAACACTCTGCAACACACACACAAAACAATCCAAATTGAGCAATTGCACTTCTGGTAAGAGTACCAATATTTTGATTTTGTGGTGAGCTGGAAACATTCAAAAGGTCATCTAAGGACTGCATGTTGGTGTTATTAGCTTAATTAGCTAGTTAGCTACAGTAAAGCTAACTGCTAACGAGTGTTGGTATTTTAACAGAATTGACAGCTGCCTGATATAAATAGAAAGCCTACATTTGTTTCTGATATAACCCAATGTTTCAAACATGATTTTTGGGTAGAAATTCTACCACTGTTTTCTTCACATTGCAACAATAACTAAGGGGTGAGAGGCCTAACAAAACTACATTTTGGTACATAGAAAAAGTCAAATGCATTTACACAAGAAGTTATGCCTTTATCTTGTTATAGTATGTTGGTTACTTCACCTTGCTGCTTGCAGGTGGATACTCCAACCAGTTGCAGAGCGTCACTAGTCTCCTGGGTGCAAGGTATGCAAATAGGTCTGAACGACAACAAAAACAATGCAACATGGAGAGGATGTTTTTACAAACTTCTGATACAGAATATATATTTCTAAAAATGCAGTAAGCCTATTCCAAATGTACCAATTTTACCAATTTATTTTAAAGGGCCCATCATATGCTTTTCTGGTTATTACCCGTCCCCTTGTGTGTTATGTAGCTTGTTCTGCATGTAAACGGTCTGCAAAGTCACAAACCCTCAAAGTACACCCTCTAGCGAGTAAAACTCTAACACAGAAAAGACCTGTCTATGCTTCCCCAGAACGCCTCGTTGGAGATTTTTCTTTTTCCATATTTTTCTTCCGGGGCATATTGACGTCACTACGTCCAAATGGACCAATTGGTCCAAATGGACCAATCCACAGAGCTCCGCACACACACACACACACTCACTCAGACCCCACGCAGCAACCAGGAAACGACACCAGTAATCCAGCTCACACTGTCCGCTCCTCGAGCCCCACAGGGAGGAGCAGCGAGCCCCGCAACGTCCCGCCAACACGGCACCCAGACCCCACGCAGCATTCTCATCTGGTTGTCATTACTGGTGTCATTTTCTGGTTGCTAACAAACGCCATTGTAACACATAATCACTGATCTTCAGCTGTAACGGTGGTTGACTAATCAGAACAGAGTGGGCGAGCTGACCAATCAGAGCACAGTGGGCTCATAGCATAGGGAGGGGGGGGCAGGAGCTCCAACAAGCCGTTTAGGAAAGAGAGTGAATACACATACTATACAGAGATGCTGTATGAGAAAACCAATGTGATTTTGGAACATTGAACAATGTAAATATATTCTAGTAGACCTCAACAATGGAATTATGATCAGTAGAAATGGCCAAGACATGGGACATTTAAAAAAACACGGGCAGGACAGTGAATGCAACATGAAATCCAAGTGTACGGTGAAAGACGGTATTTAGGGTCTCACCTCACAGAACTGGAGATTTGAACATACTCCTCCAGTTGGATGAGAGCCACATCATAGTCATAAAACTCCAACACGCCTTCTTTCACTTTACCGTTAATATTGTACTTTGGGTGTAGTATGAAGTCTTTCACTTGTTTCACTGTAAAAGACACACAGTCAAGTATGAGTAGTAGATACACGATACATTTAGTTAGAGAGTCAAAAACTGAAGACTTTGACACTTATTTTTGTAAACTGCTAAAGCATCATTAAATCAGATAAGTGAGTGTGATAATAAAAGAGCCATGAGTAACCATACAGACATTAAATAAACGATTATCATTACCTCTGCCCTGTCCATCATCAATTTCAACTTTGACGTGCTTCTGTTCATCTCCAAATTTGAAGCAGTGAGCGGCGGTCAAGACAAAGTAAGGGTTCACCAGAGAGCCGATGCAGCTCCTTGATTTGCCTTCATCATTCTTAATATTGAAAAGGACAATTAATGTTTATTATAGTTTAGTGTAAAAAACAACAAAAACATGGACAACGTGGTGGCTGCACAAATGCTTTTCAATTTAATCGACTGATATCTTTCGATATGGGTTGTTTTTTATGTAATTCTACATCTGTAGGTCAAGCTTTATTGGGATTGACTAAGCCGAGTACCTTAAAGTGGACCTATCATGCTATATTTTAATAATATAGTGTAGGACCATACCTATATAAAGCATATTTATACTTTTTTTTTTTCAAAATACCAAACAGATCATGCATTTTAGCCATGCCTCATTTTGCTCAATTTGACATTTTTTAGATCTGTTTTAGCAAGGGCAGATTCAGTGAGAACAGCAGAACGTTGTGTCCGGCAGTGGCTCAGTCAGTAGGGGCTTGGACTGGGAGCTGTAGGGTCGCTGGTCCAAGTCCCCGACCAGACCTAAATATGGAGTGTGGACTTCTACTTGGAGAGGTCCCAGTTCACCTCCTGCCCTGCCGTGGTGCCCTTGAGCAAGGCACTGGACACCCCCCTTCCCCCCTCACTCCCATTGCTCCCCGGGCGCTGTACAATAGCTGCCCACTGCTCCTAGTACTAGACTCCTGGTACTAGGATGGGTTAAAAGCAGAGGCCAAATTTCACTGTGTGTGCTGTGTGCTCTGCATGTGTGACCATTAAAGAGGGTTTCATCCCTCCCTATTCTATTCTATTCTATTCTTCAGCACCATCTACTGGCCTGGCATATATACTACAGCGTCTCCAGCGCGTTTGGAACGGCAATGGCCGTGGCTGTCTCCTCCTGATTGGTGGAGTTGGCCCAATAGCCGTAGCGCCACTGTCCTGACGTCAGGAAAGTGTTCAAATCTGGATCAGTTTTGATCAGATCCGTTGCAGCCCCGTTTTTAGAGATTTGGGTATGGAGGAAAATAGAGAGGGTTGTGTTTTCTGACACTTGGTGAGTTCCCTGGAACACCGGGGACACATATTCATGTATAAAAGACGTACAAAAGTGCATTTTGCATGATAGGTCCCCTTTAATATTAATTAAAAATAACCTAATTTGTACAAATACAACATCTATAATATATATACATGTATATTTACACTTGGAATGTATTATGTCCATATATATTTTAAACAAAAGCAGAATAAAAAATGTGTTTACAACAAAACGCTATACTTATTTGAACATGAACGATATCATTCAACAAAAATCCCCCCCACCCGCCGTTCCCTTTTTATTTTATTTCTACTTAGTGGGAGGAAAAGGCTAATGCCCTAATGTTATTGTTTGCTATGGTAACATACAGTGAAAATTCACCTGGATAGTAATGAACGCCCACCATGGATACTTTTTCCTTGCTGCTTCTTGTGCATTTCCAAACATTTCATACTCCTTGTGAAGACCACACAGACCCTTAACCTCTTCTTCATCTAGAAAATAAAAATACATTTATGGTAAATATACAGAGGTGGAACAAGTACTCAGATGTTATACTTGAGTAAAACTAATAAAACAGCGATCTAGAAATACTGTCGGGTATCTCCGTCCATTATAATATATAATAATTAATCAGTTGATATAATTTTGTATAAAAAATATGCACCTAAAAAGTCACAACTGCTGTAAAATAACCAATCAGAGCAGACTGGGCTCTAGTTTCAGACAGAGGGTGAAAAGAGGTGCTGCAGCACAGGCAGTATGAGAAAATGAAAGAGCTTTTAGAACATTAAAGCCTGGAGACATGTCACAGAAGAGACACAAAATACAAATATGACCCTGAAAATGAGCATAATAGGGCCCCTTTAAGTGCAATACTTGATTAAATGTACTTTGTGAGTTTCCACCACTGTAAATATGTAGTGGGTGAAGCAAAATCAATGAGCAACATCAGCTGTGTCGAGCTACGTATCATATATAGGCACAGATCAAGAGTGATGGTTCTTCTGCCTGCTCTTAAGTACTTAAGGAAACAAGAGAACAATGTTGATAACAAATATATATATATATATTTTGATATATCTCCTTTATGTCAAATGAGAGGGTAGAGATACATAGATGTTGAACAAATATAAATTTAATTAATGTTTTACGATATTCCTTCAACCTTCTTCAAAGATAACTTACCAATTATTGCATCAAAGGTCTCTTGTAAGTCTTCAATGTCCTTCATTCGGAAGTAGTGCTTTCCGCCAAGCCCTGTTACGAGGGGCTGCAGGTCGTCATCAAAGATTTCATTTCCAATCGCAAAAATATAAATGTCTGTAACAGAGTAAAACGTAGCATGAAAAATAAAAGAACAATGTAAATGAAAACCTTTGTGTTAGGCGTCATCAGTGAGGGAAGAAGTAGTACTCACGTTACACGTTAAAATGTCTAATAGTGCAGAATGGCTCTTTTAAAAGTGTTTCATTATTATATAATGTCATATAGTTTTGTTTTAATTCTTTAATGTGGAGCAAATTTCAGATACTTTGTGTTCAACCTGGTCACTAAGTAGTGTCTAAATCATATTAACACATCATGTTATTGTGCAAAACGTACTACAAGTGTCAAATAAATGTAGTGGAGTAAAAAGCACAATATGTCCCTCTGAGATGTAATGGAGCAAACCTTAAAAAGTTCTGTACTTTGTCCTCTGTTATATTCCAGCACTGGGTTATCATATATCAATAAATGTTACTGACAATATAGCATGTGTGTGGCTAGATGTTTTTAAAATGCAACTCACCCAGATATTCCTCCCTTGATTGAGCCTCCTGTTCAACAGTGTGGTTCATGTATACCATATTTTTTATTCTGACCAATGTGGGTTCAGGAGATCCGCCCATATTATACGCACCTGTAATGAAAGAAACCAGAGGAAGTACAGCGCTTAATTTTTTTTTTACTCTATTTAGCTTCATGATCTTATATAGGAATGCATAGAATCTTTTATTTTTAAATTAGTGCTGATTTGATTGCCTATCAATTCTTGTTTTGCAGTAGTAGGAACAAAGTTTAAGAGGCCTTATTATGCTTATTGGGGTTTTCTTATTCCTGTAGTTGTAAAGGGTCTGCAAAGGCTAAAATCCCAAAGTTCCCTCCAGAGGAAGTTTGTCCCCCACACACTCCCCCACAGAGCCAGCTAACCAATCAAAGCAGACTGGGGCACAAAATAAAAATATGAACCTGAAAATGAGCATAATATGTCCTTTTTAAGTGTTGAATTGATGAACATTAAAGGAATTAGCAATTTTGGGATAGAAACTAATTTACTTTCTTGCTAAGTATTAGTTGAGAAGGTTGCATTATATATTAGAGTAGAATAAATCTTCTTATCCAACTCTTAGCAAGCTAGCAAATGTTCATCCCTACACAATTAAATATACCAAGTAGCTGGAAATACCGTCTGTAAATAAGATGAAGACGTGGCGATGTTCTTTAAATTGCTCTTTTCCCACTCGTATCTTTATAACAGCCATTTGTTGCTCGAATTTCTTGAATAGGAGGTTCAGATCTGTTCCTGTGTTCTTTTCTTTGAGTCAAAAGACAAACACACACAAACAAGAAAACATACATGTCAAGCTGTGTATCATAACAGTATTTTGATATATGTTCATATTTACAATCACTTTACTCACGGCCGACTTTGAAATCTTCCACTTTTTTAATGATGGCGTTTAGTTCAACTTTTTTTCCCCCGAAAAAATCAAGAATGTTGACAACTTCATACAAGTCAGAGGAGAAAAAGACAATTTCATAGTTTGGATCCACGGTAAAGGAGGCAATCTGTGGAGACAAAAAGCAAATCAGGTCAAAACAATCTTCAGTGTTGTATACATTTTGTACACAACTTTATAAAGAACTTTTCAAACAGCTGTAAAATATGTTATATCTGTTGCTGTACACGTCTTTATGTATGAAAGTGCTTATGGTTGGTGTTGGGGAAATATTTTCCTAGGCCCATAACTTTGACCCAGATTATCAGTTCATACTGTCCTGACTGAGCACACGCACCTGTAACCTTGGCTGCTGTGCTCTCAGTGTTTTGTCTCCCTGTTCCTGCCTGTTGGCGTCAGCTGATAGAGGTGTTATGATTCTATCTTGTTATGCACAATGTTGATTATTCTCTCTGAACTAGCTAAATACATGGGTCTGGGGTAGAGTTCTTCAGAATTGACGTGGCAACTCTACCGTGAAGTCAGAACCTCTGACTCTTTGACTTGTTTTGTGAATTCTCTGGCCGAAGCTCCAAATAAACCCATCAGTGTTTGACATCAAAGCTCCAGCTCTCCCCGTGTCTCCTTTTGAGTCGGTGACTCCTCCTGCATTGCTACACAGAAGTTTCCCCCACAGTTGGTATTTTGTTGAGTAATTGATTCATTTATCAGCAGTGAGAATCCCGTAGTGTGCACTGACAGCAAGCCAAGGCACTCGCGCCAAGGAGCATCAGTCAAGATTATGATGTGTAATTCATAATGAAATGTACTGCTAATGGGCTGTTGTGATGGAAGCCAAATGGGGAGGCATAATGTTTGTACATGTGATGTGGGCACTGTGCCAAATGTGCTTCTAAGTGTGTGTCAGAAAATGTAAGAGGCTTCATATATCTCACACCAGAAATATGATTCAGGTTATGATTTTAAATTAAATTAAATGCACTATCCCACATAGTGTTAAAGAAGTAACATTACATTTATTTACTCTGGCACAATTACGACACTGTCCCTGCTAATTAAACCAATAAATAAATGCACAAAATGTAAAAAGCCAATGCGGTTCAAGAAAAATAATATGATTTTAAGAAGGAGAACATGTTTTAAAAAAGTCCCTGTTGCAGGAGACCCAAAGAGCAATACATTCAATAAAGTAATGATGCATTGTAAAATAAATAATTGTATGAAAAATACAGACAAATATATCCTATACATGTATATTGTAACCAGGCGAGACAATCTAGTTCTTATATTAAACACTCAGGGCATTATTATGAATCGTAGGTCCCTCTGATTCTTTTCAAATTAGTATTTACTATTTCAAAATTAAATTAAAATGTTTTTTATTTCAAAATTAAATCGAATAGTTTTTTAAAAGCGCAATTTTTCCTTAATTATCGTTTTATTCTAAAATGCAATTCATCATCCCAAAGTCCTTGTATATTAATCTATTCAAATAGGGCCCAGCAAGTTTGGTGTATTGCTGTTGATTTGATCCGAATAAGCTGGCACTTCCTGGTTTACAGGAAGAGCATTGTGGAAAATAATACTATACCGCTTCATAGTATCTGCATGACATTTACGACCCATCAATAATACAGTGGCTTCCTCTACCATGATCAGTAAAAACTCTGACATTTCATTTGATTTCATTTGAGTCCAAGTGATTGATCAAATGTCCAGAGTAGTCACACTAACTGCCATATTTACAGCACGTTTTTAACATCTCAGCAAATCCATCAACAGCAATCTGTACGTTCACTGCATGCGCTTCCTTTAGACTGAGTCCACAATCAGCGAAAAATATTCTCACATCTCAGCACAATGTTGCTGTCTGCATGCAAATTCAGCATATTGTAGAGTTAGTGAGGCGATTCAGTGAAAACTTTTAACACATACTGTCACAATATCATTATGAATAAAACACATTTGTTTTAAATCAAGTGGACGGATGTTTGTTTCTTACTTTTTTGATCAGTGTTATGATGGCGTCTTTCGCCTTTGTGACATCCTTCTCCTCGATGCTCTCAGAAATATCGACTGCTATATAAATATTCAGCGTCCCATTTTTGGAGATCCTGATTGTTTTCCCCGCCTGTGTGTCATCTAAACCACAAGAAAGGCTGTTATTGTGCCATACAAACAATCTGCCACCATCATATTTATTCATTCCTAAATCTATAGTTAAATGGAAGACAGTGTTAGATTGTTAAAACAAAGGTATTACAGACATTTACGTTTTGATGGAGCTTATACCTTATTATTATTAACAAAATAATGCTATAATAGCAGAAAACCTCATCTAGCATAGCTTTGAAATCATGTTAATTGTCATATTTAGCTCAGGTACTTACTGAGAGACTCTAAAGTGGTGAGGCTCTCCCTGATAGAGCTGCCAAATGCCTGTGAAACCTCCAATGAAGTGTCATAGGTGTGTTTGTCTGCAAGAAGCAAATTAAACAGATGATTGTAATAATTGTTACAAAGTGAAGTGATGTTTTGAACAAAGCAGGTAAAAGTGCTCGCCTATCACCATAGAGACTTGGGTTCAGTCTTCAGTAGTTTAAAGGGTCCCTATTATGCGTTCTGGGGTTTTCCCTTTCCTGTAGTATGTTATATAGGTTTTTGTGCAAATGGTCTGCAAAGGCTAAAATCCCAAAGTTCCCCCCAGAGGGAGTTTCTCTCCCATATGCCTTAAATGCATCCATTGGATTCCTTTGTTTACTTACGTAACATAGTGACATCACTATGTAACACTCACGCTTCTATTGGCTAGCAATCCAACACATTGCACGTCATAGGCTAAGGGACGGGCCAAAAAGAGAAAAACAGGAAATATGCAAAAAAATATATACACCCAGAACTAGCTAAATATTTGCTTCAACAAAGTGCGTTGAAGCTGTTTTGTCGTATTTTTGTGCTTCACATGTTGATAATCTCAGGTGCAGGTTTGAACATCTTCGTATGGACATGAGGTGACTTTCAATATTTCATGTAAGCATACAGATAACTTATTGTTTACCTCAGAGACTGACTCATCAGTTCCAATCACAGTGATTGGTAAATCAAAATTGCACATTAATCCACATTTTTGAGTTTTAAGGGCATAAACCTGTGTAAATGGATTTGAAGTTAAGTCATGGCTTCATGAATGTTGCAACATATACAATGCAGTATTTATAAAGTACAGTTTCTGTTAGATTCAGTACAAATGAAGATCTCAGTTTGTAGGTTTCTGTCTTACAGTAGCACGCTGGCTCTTTGCCACTCCACTGGCCATTCTCCAAACAAACTCGCTCACTGGACCCAACCAAAAACAGGTTGCTGTTGCAGCTGTATTTCACCGTCTCGTCAATTCCAAATATGTTCCCTGCTTTTGAAGCGCCAGCTGGGATACCAGGATCAGCACAATTGTGTCCTGCTGTGGTAACAAAAAACACAGAAGATAAGTAATAAAACATTCAACCCGTGAGGAAACAACCCAATGAGCAGTAGATGTCTGTTCAGGACTTACATTCCCGGCTACAGATGGGAGTGGAGCCGCTCCACTTCCCATTTGGTAAGCACACACGTCTGGCTGAGCCTCGCATTGTGTATCCAGAGTAGCACTCGTACGTGGTCTCATTTTTCACAAAGTACTTCTCTTGGGGTGGGAAGACTTCTCCATACTCCATCACATTTGGGTCGGGGCATTCAACAACTGCAAAACAAAACGAAATAATCTGAATTATCATGTACTGTAGAGTCTGAGCAGGAGTGAGAAACAGCAGCATCACATCACTGACCCCTGCATCTCTGAGGAGTGAATCTCCTGGGCGCCATTCTCCAGCTGTCATCATGCTGGCACAGGCGGGTCATAACGGGGTACGGGTAGTAGCCCTCGGAACAGTGGTAGATCAACAAGCTCCCTTTCTGCAGCTGCTTGGTCAGTGTGTAATGACCTCCTGCTATTTCCATGTTCTCCTCTGTGCAATTACAACAAACCTGGCCTCCTGAAAAAAAGAGAAAAATACTTATATTTGGCATGGAGCCGTAATATTTACTTCGATTTACCGTACATGACTCCCTCCAGAGCCATGTACTGTAAGACATTAACCAATGTTTTCACAAGCTGCATCGGTAATACCACGTAGGTGTCAAACATTAAATCTCCAAGTGTAAAACTTCACATTGGTCTTTCAAGGCTTTAAAATGTGTTTCTGAATAGATTAAAAGTATATACGAGTGGTCTTAAGAAAGGCTACGAGCTGTTTTGTTATTTACATTTCTCTTCACATACTAATTTATGTTGATGCTTTAGTGAAAACATATTTAAACTGTATCAACTTGACACTATGAACATCACATCATGCAGTAGGACATGACATGACATTACATGCAGAACAATAAGCTGGCAGCAACATTTCCATCCATTTCAGAAAGCGTACAAAATATCAGGTGACATGTTTCTACTATACTTTGATAACTGTTGGCCGTAGTATTACATTTCAAATTACCATATTCATTGTTGTTATTTTGAACCTTTAGCTGTGGATCAAATACATGGAATTGTTTTTTAACTCAGTTGTGAATAATTGTCTCACTCTCAATGTTTTTAAAAACCTCTAAGCTCAGCTGGATTTGAAAGTTATTTTAAATATTTTTTTTTCATTTGGAAACACAGTATAACATGTAAAATATGTATCTTTTGAAATAAAAGCAGCTCACCGAAAAAGTGGAGACATAAAAGTGCAGCAAGCCAACTGCAGTGGACTGCAAATCCCATGATGAACCTTGAACCAGAACAATCTAATACAATGAAAGGATTTTACAGGAACTGTTGATTTATTTTAAAATATCAGGGGAGTTTCAGAAGGAGGGACTTGCTTAGAAAAGATCATGATGGTACTTATTAACTTCATGACAAATAAAAGGAAATCAATAGCGTGTGTCGCAGTAAACTTGTGAATTCCAGAAAATGTGACTTTATCAGGAAAGATTCAAACATTTCAGTTACAATTGAAATAAAATAAGCCTGGTTAATAATGCATTACCTTTGTTTGTTACTTGAGACTTTTCCTGAAAGATTTAAATACAATCTATGCAGTATAGGTTATCTGTTCATGCTGAGCGTTGTAAGGCAAGGCAAGGCAAGTTTATTTATATAGCACCTTTCAACACAAGGCAATTCAAAGTGAAAGTGAAAAAATGAAAGACATTAAGAAAATGGCATTTAAAATCAGTCATTAGTCTAAATCCCTCTGTTTTAAACAACCTACAGTAAAGGTTAAATATGTTACTTTTGATCCTTGGTCTTTCCACTATGTGTACACACACAATCAGATGTTGCACAAAAAACAAAATAGTTGTGAAATCAACCGAACTTTCATCATTTCCCAAAATCCGCAGGCACTGTTGAGCTTTGTTTATTGACACATTGAGTCAGGTATTGATTGAGCAGCCAGTTATACCTGCGAAAAAATGCACAGATGAAACCACAAATTAGGGCAATCTGTTTTGTCAAAATATGCTATCCATCATTAAGTAGAATCGATCATTAAGTAGAAACAGAAATAAAAGGTTTTGAGGGACTGTAATGTCTATAAGGTCTGAAATGAAGTTGTGAAATTGCTTAGGCGAAGGAGATGTTAACAATGAGTCAATATGTTTTTAATAATAAGTTCAATTCAATAAATATTGTTGATTTGGCATTTGGAAAATGGCTAATTTGCTTTCTTGATAAATTAGATTGATGTCTGTAGCCTACAGTAAGTACCGGTTCTGTTATATCGTTTATATTTATTTTGGATAACAGGACCAGGACTTTGGAGATGGTGCTAGTTGGATTTTCTTCCTTCTTTTTTATTTGTATACCTGAGGTCAGATGCGGGCTAGTAGCTTTCCTCTGTTTCCAGTATTTATGCGAAGGTAACCAGCTGCTTTTGGTAGCAAAATATTAGACCTATACCGTGAAAACAGTGGTATAAATCTTTGCTTAAAGGGGACCGATCATGCAAAATGCACTTTTGTACGTCTTTTATACATGAATATGTGTCCCCGGTGTTCCAGGGAACTCACCAAGTGTCAGAAAACACAACCCTCTCTATTTTCCTCCATACCCAAATCTCTAAAAAAAGGGGCTGCAACGGATCTGATAAAAACTGATCCAGATTTGAACACTGTCCTGACGTCAGGACAGTGGCGCTACGGCTATTGGGCCAACTCCACCAATCAGGAGGAGACAGCCACGGCCATTGCCGTTCGAAAGCGCTGGAGACGTTGTAGTACATATGCCAGGCCAGTAGATGGTGCTGTTCTCACAGAATCTGCCCTTGCAAAAACAGAGCTAAAAAATGTCAAATTGAGCAAAATGAGGCATGGCTAAAATGCATGATCTGTTTGGTATTTTGAAAAAAAAAAAGTATAAACATGCCTTATATAGGTATGGTCCTACACTATATTATTCAAATATAGCATGATAGGTCCACTTTAACTATCAGGAAAAAAGGAAATAAGCAGCGACGTGCAGTCAGTGGAGGCAGGGGAGGCAGAGCCTCACCTGTCATACTCCAATGTAACGGAAAAACAACTAAAGAAAAACGAAATAGTAATAATAATAAAATGTCTCCACTGATCTGTGTTGTAAGTGTGATTTATGTATGATTCTAATCGCTTTTTATAGTCAAAATCAGCAAATTTGCCGAGCTCCGCTACGGGAGCAATGACAAGTGAGGCAGGGGCGTGCTCTGCCTCTTGTAAGCCCACAGTAACTTGCTGGAGCGCGGGCACTAATGTAGCGCGGGCACTTATTTTGTGAGCGCGCTCAAGCCATTTACTGTGGGCTGAGTTGAGGCACAGATGAGATCTGCCTCACCTCAGAATGCGTCACCCCACAGAAACTGGCTGGAAAGCGGGCCCTAAGCGCATGCCTGTTACCATCTCACTGTAGGTCACCAATGTAATGTATGTAGATCCCTTTATTACATTTATCCTCGCCATCCATAGTCTCTAAATAACTTATTTCACGTATATATGATATTTAGGCTCGCTGCTCTCAACGGCAATGAAAATGCACCAGGGGAGGCAGCCATAACCTCTGCCGCACTGAAGGGGGCGCACGTGAGCCCACAGGTTCTTGTTGCTACTGTTATTCTACACAGAGACGGTAGACGTAACAACAAACTAGACTTTTGAAACTACAGGAAGATAAGGAGGACTTTTACAAAAAAGTAATAGAGATTGTTGTCCAGAAGGATAGCATGGACTTCATCTTCAAGTCAAGGTAAGACCACATTTGTAATGAAAATGGGATCTTACTAAGAAAGAACAATCCAATATTTAGATTGTGGGTATCCTTTTGTTGAACGGTCTGTTTAAAATGAATCGAAGCATCAGACTAAAAAAGCTTTTGAAAATAACCGAATATTTCGATTAAGGTCAAAATATAATATTTGTAAATCTGACTCAGTGCCTCACCAGCCATGAACCTCACCGCACGTCACTGGAAATAAGTATATTTTTCATACACTTTTCCTTTAAGATTGTGGAATAAGAAGAAACACAGAATAAAATGTGTGACAAATTTAATTTAATCTCTAATCTGGGACAGATGCCAAGTTATTGAGAAGCATATTTGACACGTGTTACTATAAAGTGAGATTTTCCATCAATATAATATGTGAGCTCAAGTCCAGATCAGCAGAAGCCATGGATGTGAGCGTGATCCGTATTTCCAGGCACAAATGGGGTATGTATGCAGTACTAGTAATTTAAAAAATGGGCCATAAGGTTGATTTAGGGCTGGCAGAGAGACAGATCAGCCAGAGTTTAAACAGCAGGATGCTTCATCAGGAATATGCTGTGTGGGCTAACGTTGAAAAAGAATAGGGAGTTGGGAGTAAGGGGGATGGGGTGGGGCTTCTCTGAATATACTGTCTGTATGCTGCTCTATCCTAACATTGCTAATCAGTTTAGGTGTAATGGCAATTTTAACTGTTCCAATGTCCTATATCCTTTGCCATTACTTCACAGGAGGGTTTAGAGTGATCCTGACGCAGACACAAACAGATGAATTTCCAGGTCTTTTGCTGCGGTTTAAAATGATGTTTATTGCTTTACATACCAAGGTTTAAGTATACAGTGTCAAATGGTTGTGGTATGAGCATCTGCCGGCTGGGCTGGTAGAATCGGTATGCTCTTCCTCCTGTGTCCTCTTCCTCTCCTGTTACCTATGACCCCTTTTATACACCCGGTGCAGCTAAACCCCGCCACCAAGTGTTCAAAAATAATATTGCACTATACATATAAATTAAATAAACTGAGATACCAACAACACCCATAAAATGGCTCCTACACACCGGCCCCTAATTGGCTTTAGTGTAAAACAAAAAACAATTACCAATAAATAATAAAGGAGCTATGAAAATGGTGTGTTCTATGTGTTGTTATTTAATTCCTAATGATTATTCAGTTTCTTTTCTTCTCCCTTATTTTAAAGGTAACCAGTCTTTGTGGTATTCATGTCTCAGCTTCCTGGAGCAGACATATCTTCGTTATTGGTCTCACTAAGATGTTGCTCTTAGTTTGAAGTCGAACTGTGCGCACAAGACCTTGTGCATCTGGTCTTGTCTCCAGTATTCTGCCCATTAACCAGGAGCCACGTGGAGCAGTGGAATCAGCCACTACAACAATGTCACCTGGAGCAAAGCTTATTTTTTCCTTTAACCACCGTTGTCTATTTTGGATTAGAGGCAAGTATTCCTGTGTCCACCTTTTCCAAAAGAGATCTGCCATATATTGCACTTGTCTCCATCTGCGTTTGATGTACAAGTCCTCCTTTGCAAAGAGTCCAGATGGTAGTTTCGGCTTGGTTTTCATCAGAAGAAGATGGTTAGGGGTGAGAGCCTCCAGGTCCATCGGATGATCAGAAGATTTTGTAATTGGTCGAACATTCAGAATCGCTTACACTTCACAAAGAAAGGTTTGCAATCCTTCGTCGTCCAGAACTTGTTGTTTTAGAATAGAACGCAGCACATTTCGAACCATGCGGATCAATCGTTCCCAAACACCGCCATGATGGGATCCTGCTGGGGGGTTAAAATACCACCTTATTCCTCGCTGAAGCACAGCACTCTGAATTCTGTCTTGATTGAAACCATTGAGTGCTTCTCTTAGCTCTCTATTTGCTCTGACAAAATGTGTGCCATTGTCTGATCTTAAAAAGGAAACTTGACCTCGCCGACAAATAAATCGTCATAGTGCATGGATGCAGGAGTCTGTGTCAAGTGTGTATGCAACTTCAAGATGTACTGCTCTGCTTGCCATGCAAGTGAAGATTACGCCATATCTTTTGACAAGACTTCGTCCTCTCTTGATCTCAATAGGACCGAAGTAGTCTACTCCTGTATTTGTGAAGGGAGGCGTATCTGGTAGAATCCTTTCCAAGGGCAAGTCTGCCATTTTATGTTCTCCAAGTCTTTCCATTAACTTCTTAACTTGTTTGTATTTGAAGTTTCTTGCTTTTTGACAGTTTACAATAAACAATTCCAATCCTTTGGCCGTGTGAATGGTAATCCTTTTTTCTCTCACAGATTGCAGTCCAACAGTGCCATCTTGTGACGTGATGTCAGATTTCACAGACATGATTAATGTTCACTGTTCCTTTAAAGGTGGGGTAGGTAATTTTGGAGAAACCAGCTCGAGTGCGCTAGAATTTGAAAATACACAACCGGAAAAAATCTGCCACTTCCTTACAGAGCCCCTCCTCCAACACACACGAACGCGCACATGACCACTGAGGGCACGAGATAAGTT